AACGGCATAATTATATATATATATATATATATATATATCATAGCTGTATTACACTGTATGCTATATACAGATAAAGATAAAAGATATTCTCATTGATTGATTCTCATATGAACCAAGTTGATGACATAAAAGGGGAGAGCGATAGAAGTTGACAAATTAAAGATGAAAGAGATGAGATCATCTCTTCCTCTTATCTCAAAAAGCAGCGGCGAGCTCCTTGCCCATGTTGATTAAAGTGAAGCCCACATCGAATCAAATCCACGTCACATATTCATACACACATCACCTAAGAGAATGCGCTGTGAAAAGCCTGTGCGTATGTGGGTGCGTGAGATAAAGATAAAAGATATTCTCATTGATTGATTCTCATATGTCTTAAAACAACACCAAGCATGAACCAAGTTGATGACATAAAAGGGGAGAGCGATAGAAGTTGACAAATTAAAGATGAAAGAGATGAGATCATCTCTTCCTCTTATCTCAAAAAGCAGCGGCGAGCTCCTTGCCCATGTTGATTAAAGTGAAGCCCACATCGAATCAAATCCACGTCACATATTCATACACACATCACCTAAGAGAATGCGCTGTGAAAAGCCTGTGCGTATGTGGGTGCGTGGGGGCCTTGAGTAGAAAGAGGCCTTAAGTAAGCCTGTTTAAAAAATTGATGGTTAGTACAGACGAAGAAACGGGGCGCACATTCAGCATAGCCAGCATGTGTGCATAATTCACTCAATCCCTAATTGAAGCCACACAAATATGCAAATGGCACATCCTAAGTGTCTCACTTGTGCCTCAGTGACACAAGACGGGTGTTACGATGGTAAAAATGGATCCATGCTGTGATCCATGTCAAATAAAATAAAATAAAATATAAAATACATTGGGCACATGCTCGCCTAAAGCGACTCTGTTCTGTGGAGGTTTCCAAAATAAAGGTTCCTCTAATGCTCCGAGTTCTGTAATCAGAGGAGTGACTCACCAAACCCACTTTGGACACACAGTAGAAACCGAATGCGCTCTGGAAAAGAAAGAGAGAGTGGAAGGGCCCTAGGTTTAATCTAAAATAGGACGTCAGCGCGGTCGTCATGCTGCTTCTGTACAAGGATGTGAGTCAGCGGCACACTCTAACAGAGGCCACTCTCATTGATTATTCATTTGTGCCTCAATTTTTCAGACTGCATTTCCATTTCTGAGAGCGGCGGGCACTACGGTGTCGGTGCGATAAGCCCCAAACGGCCACATTGTAATGTGATTAACCGTTGGCTGCTCTGGCATCAAGTTTTCTGAAGGTTCCAAAGCAAAATCACTTAGCAATGTTGCATCTTTTCCTCTACTTCTTTTCTTAATCATAATTATTATATTAATAATCCCCAACTAGTTATTTTTTATTTTATATCATGGTTTCCACAAAAAAATTAAGCAGCACTGATATACTGTATATATATATATATATATACTATATACTGATATACAGTATATCCTGTATGATGGAGGATGTGTACAGGTGTTGATATCGTCCTTCAGGTTGTGATCATACTGTATATGCTGTAACCTGTCAGTGTAAATCCTGCATAAATTAGAGGTGTTTCCAACAAAGAGTACCATATAATTCAAGACCTTGATTGTGTGGAGTTGGGGGGCCCTTACAAGACTTTGTGCCCAGGGGCCTCTGAATTCTTAATCTGAGCCTGCAAACGGCCCGCTCCAGTCCTAACTTGCTCCGACGCCGGCTGTAAACTCTTCCACGATGCTGTGTACTCTCTAGCGGTGCCAGAGGAACTCTGAATCTTGCGGGGACTCAGAGTGCTATCTGGGCTGCGACGCTTCTCCTGTAATAACCGGCTTCCGTCTGAATGTAAACAGTGTTGCGTGCGTGACACTTAGTTCATAAAACTCGCTTGAAATACTCAAATCAGACATCGATCTACATGAGAAATACTATTAAAACACTGACAGATGAATTCTTGCCGAAAAACACCCACTTTATCACAAAATAGTAATTTAAAGACTGCAACAACCACGGAGTAAAACAACCTCGCGTCGCTTTCTCGCTCAATCCTTCAGCGGATCTTCTTAAAAGAATCTTAATCCACCAATCAGAATGCACCAGCTCATAAAGGGGGTGGGACCATAACTTTTACAAGCCAAACAAAACAAATGATTTTGCTTAACCATATTTGCATACCAAAAATTATAAATACAGGTGAACACTTTTAAAAATAAACACAGTAACAAACTCAACCTTGAATGTTTATGATCAAAATGTGCATGAATGAATCCCCTTGTCAATAATTGACAGGTTGTATTAATCCAAGTTCACCCATATTTTACATATGTATTTATGAATGAAAGCAGTCATGAGGTTTTGTTTACAATTAAAATAACAGTATAATTTCCAGATGTTATTGGAATTTTTCTTTGTACAGAAAGCACTTGATTGAAAAAATGAAACAACACAGTTCATAAGCAGTAAGATCTTCTAATTTTGTTTTTGGAAGAAAAGTCTCTTGTGCTTACCAAGGCTGCATTTATTTGATCAAAAATACAGTAAAACGTGTTGTATGAAATATTACAGTTTAAACTATTACCATTTAAATAACTTTTTTAACTATTTGAATATATTGTAGAATGGTTTTAACATTTTTAATATTTCGAAATGTATTATTGTGAAGGTAAAGCTGAATTTTCAGCATCATTATTCCAGTCTTCAGTGTCACATGACCTTTCAGAAATCATTCTAATATGCCGATTTTCTGCTCAAGAAACATTTCTTATTATTACCAATGTTTAAAATATTGAATTATATGGTACTGAATGTCTCTCTCCAGGTTCTCCAGACCTCCTTGACATGAGTCAACATCCTCGTTAGACCTTGGCTTCAGTGACCTGAAAATGATCGCACACCCTGGGAACACCATAACTGCGGGCACGCTCTCTGAACAGGAAAGAGAAATAACTCACTGCTGCTCTGCGACGTTCAGCTAACGATCTGTGTGTGAGTGATTTGTAATTACAAAAAGATGAAGTAGTTGTGAAGCATTTGGATGTGGATGTGCCGGCCTGCTGGCAGCTGCCTATTTTGGGGGAGGGTGACAGATTGCGCTCTGACAATCCCAGGCAGCTTTGTATACTTTTATTTCAGATGCTATCAGCTAGCAGAATCAAAACAGACGGTTTAGTCGAGGGAAATAAGTTTTGCACTGTTGTGCCTAACGAAGCATGGATACTGCACTCTTCCTTTCTACCGAACCTCCTGGAGCTGAGGCACCTGCGCTTCCCCTTTCTCTCTGTCTATTGGTTTAGTGTTTCTTCTTTCCCTCTCTCTCAGACACACAACCCTAAAATAATTATGATTAACATAAAAAGTGTTTTATAGCCTGATTACATTGGAGGACCTTTTAAAGTTTCTCATGTGACTTTTATTCTCTAGTTCTTTAGAAAATCAGCTGGTGATTTCAGAGGCATCGTGCACCTGTTTTTTTGTTTGAAGTGGCAGTTCTGGTTCACTTGGTGCTCTAGGCAAGATAAGACATGACCAAAGGAAGGGGAAAAAAAACTTTTTAACAACTTAGTAGTTATTTATTTAAGTGTAAGATATGTTAGTCTGGAACTGCAGATGACATTTAAGACGTGCAAGGGGACCCGAATGGTTAGGATAGCAAAATAAAACTTTAAAAGATAGGAAAATACACTACACCAAATCTTTTGTTGTTGATGTCCAATCAAACTAGCATTTAGTATTTTGATATATCAAGTATTTTGATGCAAATTCATGTGTTTACAAAATCAAGAAAAAAATTTATTAAATAATAAGTAAATCAAAAGTGTAAACCAGTTTAACCAATATTATTTAATTTTATTTATGCAATATTTAAGTATTTATTAATATTTTGAATCAGCTTTTATTGTTATGTTTTCATTTTCATTTTAGTTTAAGTTTAAGTAATTTTGTTAACTTCAACTTATTTTATTTCAGTTAGTTGCCATGGCAACATTTTTAATTGTCTCATTTTTAAGTTTTTCATCTAATATTTCTGTTTTATTTCATCTTTATTTCAATTAGCAAAAACAATTTTTAATGGTTTCAAATTTATAATGACAACACTGAAATGAAATGAAATGAATGAAAGAATGAATCTAAATGTTTAAAATACTCTAACCAGTGCTAGTTTAGTATTATACATATACTATTATAGTGTTTATTAATATTTTAGAATTAGCTTTTATTACTATATTTTCAATTTTCATTTTCATTTTAGTTTAAGTCTTATTAGTTTTGTCATTTGCTTTTGTCATTTTTTATAAATATTTATATTTAGGTATAATTTATTATTATTATTATTTTAGTACTTCAACTTAAATGTATTTATTTATTTTACAGTTTGTTACCAAGGCAACATTTCAAATTTTCTTATTATATTTTTATTAATATTTTTTTAAGTTTAGGGTTTTCATCAAATATTTATATTTTATTTTATTTCATCTTTGTTTCAATTTCCAAAAACTATTTTAATAGTTTTAGTTAACAATTAACAACACTGGAAACAAACAAACAAACAAACAAATAAATAAATAAATAAATAAATAGTGTATAAGACATACACCTTTGTATCACAACATCTAAAACAACATTTTGGATCTAATTTCTTCTATGTCAGTACCTAATTATTATCTCAACACACAGACTGGATTCTTATGTGCTAGTAAATAAACACTAATAGACCTAAATGTGTTTTTCAAAACTTGTACATTTTGAATATCAATTGATTATGTTGAATTGATTTCAAATGATTATGTTCTCCAATCCTGAACCTGTAACAATTGTTCTCTCTGATCTTCCACTTGCACTCAAAGGTACTTCTTGTTCTTTCTCAGTGTGACACCTCCTGACTGATGCTAGACAGCGAGTTACTCTTCAGTCTGAACCTAATGACTAAAGCGCAGTCATGCTGATATCTCAACAGGACAGCTCTGGGAGTCTTTAGAAAGTTGTATGTGGGCCCAGGCTGACAGCCAGTGGGTGTTGTGACAGAGTTCACTCACGGACAGGAGTCGGTTCTTCTCTTTCTCGGAGAAGCTCTGTGTGTTCTCCAGAGCTGCCCGGTGCTTCCTGGAGATCTCGTCCAACGCCCGGCTGTGGGCATCCTTAAAGTAAGCAGTGTCCTCTTCATATCTGGCACGCAAGTTCATGAGCTCCTTCTCATAGATCTGCTTTTCTTCTCGAAGTGACTGTTGAGGAAAAAAAAGACAAATGTATTTAAAAGGTGGTCTGATGCTTACTGTATATAAAAAAGCTGCTTAGTTATTCAACAAAGGTAAAGGTTTGTCAAGTGGTTTTTGAAATTTGGTTTCAATAAATGGTCTTTTTGGACTGAGAAGGAAGCTTTGAGTTCTGAAAGTTTGACTCATTAAATAAACTTTAATATCATTTAGATAAACACTTTTCATTAAAAAAATGAAATCAGTGCACAACAGTATTATGAAGCCCTTTTTGCATTCACATAGATAAACATGACGCAAAAAACGAAAAGTCAGCCTGTGAAAGTTGGTTTGTATGAGAGTATGGTTTGTGAAAAAAGCACAAACAGGCATCAATAAAGGACACTGTCTCATGTTCAGAAATGTTATGAATCCAATCTAAAAGTATAACAGTGAAAGCTGAAAGACACTTTCAAAGCCCACACTGCCACTGTGAAGCAGATGGCCACAGGTAAATAAACTTCCCATTATAGGACCAGCAGAAGTGTCGGCAGAGCGAATCACTCCACAATGCTTTCCCGCTCTATTTGGGGAGCGTTGTCATAGTAACACCTAACTCAAGGCTGTGCTGCTAACAAACTGTGATGTGGGCGACAGAAAGAAACGGAGAAAAAGCTTGATGAGACCTTTTCAAATGGGAATTATATTCAAGCATAGCAGCAGTCCTAAGAGAGTGCCAATAATAGCATGGCATTTTGTATATTCTACATACTACATTTTTGACAAGTTGGTTTTAGAGAAGTGCTAAATTTAAATTCCAGCTGACCCCAATCTGACGTGTTTATTAGGTTAATGTTCACAGAGGACTTGTGTTTCGAAAACAGATATATGGAACGCAAGTGAAAGAGATGATAGGAGTCTTCTGAAAAATAAATAAATATATAAATAAATACAAAATAAATAAAATACAATTAAAAATAGGCCTGAATTTAAGCTTTATGCATTTGAACTGCATAAAAAAATTCATATAATTGCATATAATACATCGTTACCTTAATGTAATATTTATCAGGTTTATATATTTATCATCTCTAAATCCGATTTCCGTCAATCTCATACATTTGAACTAACTTAATATTGTTAGCCATATTTTAATCATGTTCAAACTTTTTAACTGAATAAATTTGCATCAAAATATGATTATTTAAATAGATGGAAATATTTAAAAATAAATTATGCCATGTTTTTAATTTAACTGCATTTTTTAAAGTGTAGAAATCTGACCCGTTTCATTTATTTTATGACTGAGAAATATGTATCACATGAAGTTAGTTTGAAACATTAGTTTGTAAAAACTTGTAATCCAAACGGACGGAAATTTTGCATGCAATTCAAATACATAGATCTTAAAATCAGACATAAATATTTTTTTGAGTGTTAAGACGTTTTAAGTTGATGCAATGTGTCGCATGACGGACTGCACCACAGCTTTTTAAAAGTTTCCCAAAGTCTACTTTTAAAACTGCTGAGAGGGATATTTCTGGAGCAGAAACAAGCCCACATTCCCACAATCTGTTTATTGGGGCTCTCAATGTATTAATAATGGAAGAAAACCTAAATGCGACAGGACAGCCAAAAAGCCAAACTGCTAGAACAGATTGTTGCGTGAAAACAGCATGAAATGCCACACTGTAGCAAGTCAAATAAATAGCCATGCTGTCTCCACACAAGAAAAATGATTGCCAGGCTGAGTGAAACCACTGAAAAATACGAATTCCTTTTCAATCAAACCAGCCGTCCACAAAAAGACATATTTTCTAAGGTCTTGAGTGCTCTGCAGTGAGGATGGAGCGTTTTGAATAAAACATAGAGGTCTGGATTTAGCTGTGATAAAGCAGCTAGTGTTTTACACAAGAAATGAGCTTGTATATGCTTAAAGATTAAGCTAATGACGTCTCAGAGGAACTCATGCGAAATAAATGTTTCTGCAGAAGATTGACGTTTGAGCTACTTACAGACAGATTCTGCAAACTTGAGCTGTTTTTCCTCGTTCCATTTCTCTTAAACACACCAACTATGCTTCAAGATCTTTTGGTGCAGTACAAATTGTGCCTCCAAAACATATTTGGACACTTAAAAATATAACTGCATTAAAATGACGAAATAAATGTTTCTGCAGAAGATTGACGTTTGAGCTACTTACAGACAGATTCTGCAAACTTGAGCTGTTTTTCCTCGTTCCATTTCTCTTAAACACACCAACTATGCTTCAAGATCTTTTGGTGCAGTACAAATTGTGCCTCCAAAACATATTTGGACACTTAAAAATATAACTGCATTAGATATAAAACATCAAACCAAGTGGCATCTGCAAAAACTGCTGCTACAGCAACCAGAAAGTGTCCAAAGAATCCTAAAAAAGAAGTATTACGGTTTCTACAAAAACTGACAATGATAAGAAAAAATGATTCTTAAACACCAAATCAGCATATTAAAAAGATTTCTGATGGATCATGTGACATCGTTGACTGGAGTAATGATGCTGAAAATTCAGCTTTACCAACACAGGAATAAAATTTCATTTCATTTTAAAATATATTCAAATAGAAAACAGTTATTTTAAATTGTTGTTTTTAATATGGTGCAATAAAAACTTGTGCCCCCAAAGCATATCATTGCATTGGTATAAAATTAACCAAATGCTAACTAATTAGTATTTGCAAAATGAATTAATAAAATAATAATAATAAAATAACAAATAGAACATGAGCTTAGAACATCACTTTTTGGAGTCATTTTTACAATATAAAACCAACTAGCAGCATGCTTGTGATATTTGACAACCACAAAGTGTCCAAAGAATCCTAAAAAATGTTTCACCATTTCCACAAAAATGGATAATAATAAAAAAATGTCTCTTGAGCAGCTGATCAGCATATTAGAATGATTTCTGAAGAATCATGTGACACTGAAGACGATGTTGAAAATTCAGCTCTGCATCACAGGAATTAATTACATGTTTAAATACACTGAAATCGAAAACTGTTCTTTTAAATTGTTTTTTTTTAATATGGTACAATACAAATCATGCCGCCCAAAAATAGTTGGACACTAAAAATGTCACTGAGATATACAGGTGCATCTCAATAAATTAGAATGTCGTGGAAAAGCAAACTAAGTGGCATCTGCCAAAAAAAAGAAAAAAAAACTAATCTTAACTTTACTTATCTGAGTCATTTTTGCTGTATAAAACCAACTAGCATCATGCTTGTGATGTTTGACAACCAGAAAGTGTCCAAAGAATTCTAAAAAAAAAAAGTTGGTTGTGATTCAGTGTCCAAACACTCCCAGCAGGCCTAAACTGATCCACATTCAGCAAACTGGATGGGATTGATCCGTACCTTCTCCAGGGAGAGGATCTGCTGTCTCTGCCTCTCGTCCAGCGTCTGACTTTTCTTCTGCAGCGCCCCTCTTTCCTCCTCCAGACGCAACACCTTGTCCTTCAGACGAGACTTTTCCTGTTCCAGATCCCGAATGACCGCCTCGTGAGTCATCTGGGTGGCCTGCAGGCTTCCGATCTGACCTGGACGGCAGAGAGAAAGACAGAGACAGGACTGTAGCAGAGGGTCAATGCTTTGAATGTCATCTAACACAGAGAGCAGTATTTCAGTTAGTTGCCAATGCAATAATTCTAAATAATAAATAAATAATAATTCTATTAAAACTAAACAGAAAAATAGAAAAGCACATAAAATTACTAAACCATAAATTTAAAATATAATTAAAGTGAAAACTAAAAATATAAAAATAAAAGATAATTAAAAATATTAATGAATACTATAATAACACTACAATACAAGAGTTAAGGCAAATTTCTGATTTTGAAGCAATAAAGTCAAAGTACTAAAATGACTAAAACTGAAATAAAAATAAATTAAAGCTAAAAAGAAAAAAAAAAAAAAAAGACAAAAAACACAAAACAAAATTACTAAAATTCAAAAACCTACACTTAAATAAAAATAAAAACTAAAAAAAAAATCTAATTCAAAATATTCATAAATGCTATAATAAATAATATTAAAATAACAGGAAAACGGCAGAGAGAAAGACAGAGACAGGACTGTAGCAGAGGGTCAATGCTTTGAATGTCATCTAACACAGAGAGCAGACAGAGTCAAAGATCCTTTCGAACTGCCAATAGTGTGAACCTGAACACTGCAAATAAACCTCAACTATCACCAGGATTGTTCAACAGATTGCTTACCCTGCACCAGATTTAATGTGTCTTGAAGGTCCATGTTAATAATAGAATAATAGCACACTGACTGTATACTGCACAGTACATGCTGTATACTGCATGTTATTTATTAAAAATAGCATGTTGAATAGTATAGAAAATTGATTATGATAAGTGATAATGCTGCATGTTTAATTCAGCAATTTCAGTTGTCACCTTAGAAATAAAAATTGTTATTTAGTATTTTATTTCCAATTAAAAAAATATTTTTTTGGCAACATTAAATTGATCAAGAAGTGTTGTTATTGTCTAAAACCGAAACAGTTAAATCATTTTTGTTAATTGAAATAAATCTAAATAAATAATAAATAAAATATAAATATTCAAAGAAAGCTTAAAATGTAAAAAAAAAAAAAAAATATATACTGCTTTATTTCAGGTAGTTGCCAAGGCAATATTTTTTGATGTTGAAGTACTAAAATAACTAAAATTGAAATAAAAACAAATTAAATCTAAACAGAAAAAATAGAAAAGTGCATAAAAAAAAAAAAGACAAAAAGCACATAACAAAATGACTAAAATTCAAAAACCTACACTTAAATGAAAATGAAAACTAAAAATAAAATCTAATTCAAAATATTCATAAATGCTATAATAAATAATATTAAAATAACAGGAAAAAAAGAGTTAAAGGTTGATATTGATATTGGGTTTTGGGTTGATATTGCTTCCAGTTCATTTGTTACACTGGAAATGGATGGTCAGGCTGGGCACATTGCATTGTGGGAATTTGAGTAGTTTTTGAGTGTCCTTGATTGTTCTGGTACTAGTTAAATGGTTCTGCAATTTCTTCTCTTTTATATTAATAAAAAGCAGTGTTTAATTTAGGTTAATTACACTACAGTTGCTGATATCTGCACTTTTTCTCACTACAAACGTTTAAAAAGAAATGCACTTCTCAGTGATACGGCCTGGTGGTCAATGCATGGGCAACCTAGAGTTCCAGACTTGATAAAATTCTCTGATAACGGCTTCTACTTCATGTTATTAATGCAATGCAGAAAGCACATTCTCATTGTAAAAACTCTAAACACAAACAGAATGTGAATCGAATGCTTCAACCCCTATTGTTTCAGAAGTGTGTTTGGCATTTAGGTGTGACAGACCCAGCTGGGTTCTGCCTCCCTCAGGGAACATTCCAGAATATGGATGATGAACATGGCTAGGACACACAGATGCTGTTGCCAGGATAACAGGAGCTGATCCGTCACCCCAGACTTTTGTGTCAACAGCAGTGGTGTCTTGCAACTGGTGCTGTGTCTCTATCTGATGCATTGATGACTGAATCAAGTTAACCTTTCCCCAATAAATATGGCAATAATTAGAAAAATATATTTTTTTGCTTTTCTTTTTTAGCTGAATCAGGTCTTAATCTGTGAAGTGACAAAAAGCAAAAATAAATAAATAAATAAATAAAAATAAAAAATGTTAATAAAAAATATTAATAAAAAATACAAAAACTGCATCAACATCAATAATAATTATAAAATACACACTTAATAAAGATGCATGCATTATTAAAAACTACAAGAACAACCATATGAATTTCATTTAATTTTACCCAATTAATATGCCAATAGTTTAGTTTTTTTTCCCTTTAATTATCAATACTTTTTAGCCAATCAATCATTTAGGTTTGAATATGACAAAGAAAAAATTATAAAGAAAAATAAGGATCTAAAATCCTGAAATACAGTTAGATCAATAAAAATAAAAACTGAATCAGGTCTTAACCCATGCATTTCAAAAACTGATTTGCAATATTATTAACAAAAACAACAACAATTAAAGCTGCAAGCAGCGATGAACGGGCCCTCGCACCCGGGCTCACCGCCAGCGGGCGGCTTTAGTAAAACAGTCAACGGCGAGCAATATGGATTTAAAGTGGTCAATATAGGAGGAATATGTCAAAGTCATTTATATGTGGCAATCTTCCTGCTGCCAGCTGGTGGCGCTATGACTGTAATCGAATATGAGTATGTAGATGTCTTCAGGCCAGGACTCTAATCAAACATGTGAAGTTTGAGGCAGATTGGACACTGCATGCCTGAGTTACAACAACTTCCTGTTTGATGATGTTAATAGCATGCTTTAGCACTTAGCTAAGTGTTGCTAGCATGTTTGAGCATATTTCTAGCATGTTTAGCACACAAAGCCATATTTTTACTGTGTTGCTAATAGTGCATCACAGTGTTAAACATGTCACTTCCTTTTGCCAATAGGTGGCGCTATAATTGTAACCAAATATAAGCATGTAGATGTCTTCAGGCCAGGACTCTAATCAAACATGTGAAGTTTGAGGCAGATTGGACACTGCATGCTTGAGTTACATCAACTTCCTCTTTCACTGCATTAATAGCATGCTTTAGCACTTAGCTAAGTGCTGCTAGCATGTTTTAGTATGTTTCTAGCATGTTGCCAGCCTATGTAACAGATGCTGACGAATTTTTATATGTTCCTAGGAGTCCATAACAGTGTTAAGCATGTCACTTCCTGTTGCCAGCAGGTGGCGCTATGAGAATAACTGAATTTGGGCATGGGTATTTGTTCAGGACATAACACTTATCAAACGTGTGAAGTTTGGGGCAGATTGGACACTGCATGCCTGAGTTACAGTAACTTCCTCTTTCACTGCATTAATAGCATGCTTTAGCACTTAGCTAAGTGTTGATAGCATGTCTTAGTATGTTTCTAGCATGTTGCCAGCCTATGTAACAGTTGCCGACGAATTTTTATATGTTCCTAGGAGTCCATAACAGTGTTAAGCATGTCACTTCCTGTTGCCAGCAGGTGGCGCTATGAGTATAACCGAATTTGGGCATGGGTATTTGTTCAGGACATAACACTTATCAAACGTGTGAAGTTTGGGGCAGATTGGACACTGCATGCCTGAGTTACAGTAACTTCCTCTTTCACTGCATTAATAGCATGCTTTAGCACTTAGCTAAGTGTTGATAGCATGTCTTAGTATGTTTCTAGCATGTTGCCAGCCTATGTAACAGTTGCCGACGAATTTTTATATGTTCCTAGGAGTCCATAACAGTGTTAAGCATGTCACTTCCTGTTGCCAGCAGGTGGCGCAATGAGTATAACTGAATTTGGGCATGGGTATTTGTTCAGGACATAACACTTATCAAACGTGTGAAGTTTGGGGCAGATTGGACACTGCATGCCTGAGTTACAGTAACTTCCTCTTTCACTGCATTAATAGCATGCTTTAGCACTTAGCTAAGTGCTGCTAGCATGTTTTAGTATGTTTCTAGCATGTTGCCAGCCTATGTAACAGTTGCCGACGAATTTTTATATGTTCCTAGGAGTCCATAACAGTGTTAAGCATGTCACTTCCTGTTGCCAGCAGGTGGCGCAATGAGTATAACTGAATTTGGGCATGGGTATTTGTTCAGGACATAACACCTATATAACGTGTGAAGTTTGGGGCAGTTTGTAGACTGCATGCCTGAGTTACAGTAACTTCCTCTTTCACTGCATTAATAGCATGCTTTAGCACTTAGCTAAGTGCTGCTAGCATGTTTTAGTATGTTTCTAGCATGTTGCCAGCCTATGTAACAGATGCTGACGAATTTTTATATGTTCCTAGGAGTCCATAACAGTGTTAAGCATGTCACTTCCTGTTGCCAGCAGGTGGCGCAATGAGTATAACTGAATTTGGGCATGGGTATTTGTTCAGGACATAACACCTATATAACGTGTGAAGTTTGGGGCAGTTTGTAGACTGCATGCCTGAGTTACAGTAACTTCCTCTTTCACTGCATTAATAGCATGCTTTAGCACTTAGCTAAGTGCTGCTAGCATGTTTTAGTATGTTTCTAGCATGTTGCCAGCCTATGTAACAGATGCTGACGAATTTTTATATGTTCCTAGGAGTCCATAACAGTGTTAAGCATGTCACTTCCTGTTGCCAGCAGGTGGCGCAATGAGTATAACTGAATTTGGGCATGGGTATTTGTTCAGGACATAACACTTATCAAACGAGTGAAGTTTGGGGCAGATTGGACACTGCATGCCTGAGTTACAGTAACTTCCTCTTTCACTGCATTAATAGCATGCTTTAACACTTAGCTACGTGTTGCTAGCATGTTTTTTCATGTTAATAGCATGTTGCCAGCCTATGTAACAGTTGCCGACGAATTTTTATATGTTCCTAGGAGTCCATAACAGTGTTAAGCATGTCACTTCCTGTTGCCAGCAGGTGGCGCAATGAGTATAACTGAATTTGGGCATGGGTATTTGTTCAGGACATAACACCTATATAACGTGTGAAGTTTGGGGCAGTTTGTAGACTGCATGCCTGAGTTACAGTAACTTCCTCTTTCACTGCATTAATAGCATGCTTTAGCACTTAGCTAAGTGCTGCTAGCATGTTTTAGTATGTTTCTAGCATGTTGCCAGCCTATGTAACAGTTGCCGACGAATTTTTATATGTTCCTAGGAGTCCATAACAGTGTTAAGCATGTCACTTCCTGTTGCCAGCAGGTGGCGCTATGAGAATAACTGAATTTGGGCATGGGTATTTGTTCAGGACATAACACTTATCAAACGAGTGAAGTTTGGGGCAGATTGGACACTGCATGCCTGAGTTACAGTAACTTCCTCTTTCACTGCATTAATAGCATGCTTTAACACTTAGCTACGTGTTGCTAGCATGTTTTTTCATGTTAATAGCATGTTGCCAGCCTATGTAACAGTTGCCGACGAATTTTTATATGTTCCTAGGAGTCCATAACAGTGTTAAGCATGTCACTTCCTGTTGCCAGCAGGTGGCGCAATGAGTATAACTGAATTTGGGCATGGGTATTTGTTCAGGACATAACACTTATCAAACGAGTGAAGTTTGGGGCAGATTGGACACTGCATGCCTGAGTTACAGTAACTTCCTCTTTCACTGCATTAATAGCATGCTTTAGCACTTAGCTAAGTGCTGCTAGCATGTTTTAGTATGTTTCTAGCATGTTGCCAGCCTATGTAACAGTTGCCGACGAATTTTTATATGTTCCTAGGAGTCCATAACAGTGTTAAGCATGTCACTTCCTGTTGCCAGCAGGTGGCGCTATGAGAATAACTGAATTTGGGCATGGGTATTTGTTCAGGACATAACACCTATATAACGTGTGAAGTTTGGGGCAGTTTGTAGACTGCATGCCTGAGTTACAGTAACTTCCTCTTTCACTGCATTAATAGCATGCTTTAACACTTAGCTACGTGTTGCTAGCATGTTTTTTCATGTTAATAGCATGTTGCCAGCCTATGTAACAGATGCTGACGAATTTTTATATGTTCCTAGGAGTCCATAACAGTGTTAAGCATGTCACTTCCTGTTGCCAGCAGGTGGCGCAATGAGTATAACTGAATTTGGGCATGGGTATTTGTTCAGGACATAACACTTATCAAACGAGTGAAGTTTGGGGCAGATTGGACACTGCATGCCTGAGTTACAGTAACTTCCTCTTTCACTGCATTAATAGCATGCTTTAACACTTAGCTACGTGTTGCTAGCATGTTTTTTCATGTTAATAGCATGTTGCCAGCCTATGTAACAGTTGCCGACGAATTTTTATATGTTCCTAGGAGTCCATAACAGTGTTAAGCATGTCACTTCCTGTTGCCAGCAGGTGGCGCTATGACTATAACCGAATTCGGGCAAGTAGATGTGTTCAGGGCAGGACTCTTATCAAACGTCTGAAGTTTGGGGCAGATTGGACACTGCATGCCTGAGTTACAGTAACTTCCTCTTTCACTGCATTAATAGCATGCTTTAACACTTAGCTACGTGTTGCTAGCATGTTTTTTCATGTTAATAGCATGTTGCCAGCCTATGTAACAGTTGCCGACGAATTTTTATATGTTCCTAGGAGTCCATAACAGTGTTAAGCATGTCACTTCCTGTTGCCAGCAGGTGGCGCTATGAGAATAACTGAATTTGGGCATGGGTATTTGTTCAGGACATAACACTTATCAAACGAGTGAAGTTTGGGGCAGATTGGACACTGCATGCCTGAGTTACAGTAACTTCCTCTTTCACTGCATTAGGGCCCTAATAAGAAACGGAGCAATTCCAATAGGGTCCTCACACCATCGGTGCTCGGGCCCTAATAATAAGAAACGGAGCAATTCCAATAGGGTCCTCACACCATCGGTGCTCGGGCCCTAATAATAAGAAACGGAGCAATTCCAATAGGGTCCTCACACCATCGGTGCTCGGGCCCTAATAATAAGAAACGGAGCAATTCCAATAGGGTCCTCACACCATCGGTGCTCGGGCCCTAATGACAACAAGAGTAATAATAATAATAATAATAATAATAATAGATTTAACCTATTTTAAAAACTTGTTTTAACCCACGCATTTAAAAATATGATTTACAATATTGGCGATGATGATAACAAGAAAAAGAAGAATGTTTAACCTAAAAAAATTGTTGTTTTAACCCATGCATTCCAAAAATCAATGTGCAATATTGATGATGATGTTAACAACTACAATAGATTTCAACATCAAAAATCGATTTGTAACATAAATATTAATTATTGATATTAATATAAAAATACAACAATAATAATTATTATAAAATACATGCATAATAAAAATTCATTTATTATTAAAAATTATTTGCATAACAGTTAAGCCATATGAATTTAATTTCCTTTTACTTTGAATTAAGTTTTATTTTAAATTTTAATCTGAATTACAATTACTGTATCCTGCATGCTCAGTTCCAATTCAATTCAAATGGAGGATTTCAGTTGGAACTTGAAGGCACCCAGCATTTAATTCTGAACCTCACACAAGCCTGCTGTGCATGCTGGTAATGGATTAGTAGCCTAAAGCAGTGTAGAAGGATCAATCAATGAAACTGAGTGGAGTGGGATTGAACAGTGGACTGTGGACAGAGGTGATGGGAGAGCATGTGCATATCTCACTAGCTTTGAGCAGGATCTCTGTGGCCTGCTGTTGCACTCTGTCTCTGGATGCCTCCAGCTCACACTCCGCCTCCCTCTGCCTGATTTCCACGATCTCCGTGTCCTTAGTCACCTCCTCCAACTGTTTATGCAGTTCCTGCAGACACACATACAAATCAATCAAAAAAACGACCAAAACACTTGACATAAACCTCTCTGTTCATTACTGAGAGCGGCCTCTCTATATTTAACCATCATGTGGTTTCTTGCTTTGTCTCTCTCTCGTCCTCTCATGTCACGCTTTCCATTTTTGCTCCTCTCACACTGTCTCCTCTGTTCTCAAATTCATCCTCATTAATTGTGCATGTACACATTAGCTCTTGCTCCCTTTCATCTCTGCTCTGTCTGTCAATTTCCTCCGTCGCTTTCTAAAAGAACTTCTCTCGGCTTCCATCGCTCATTGCCTTTCAAACTTTTTCCTTCACTTCCACCATTGTGGAGCTCATGTTCAAATCATCGACTTTTCCACTGAATGAATTCATATGATGTATTTTGCTCTTCTATAACAAAGACAGCAGAAAGGGAAAGAAATGGACCACTTGTATGAAAATTTCAGCATTGTAATGCTACACACAGTGTCTTTTTGGTAGAACGAACATGCACAACATTGTTGCCAGATTTTATTACTGATTTCAAATTTACTATTGAAACATAATCTTGAAGTTTTGGAGATTTAGGTCTTTGCCCATTCAAGCACATAGAAGCTTTTAAAAAAAACTCAAAAACCACTGCCTGGGGATATACTAAGAAGGCGACTGCATGAACTGTTTTGCCTAACAATAACTTTTTCTTTATTATGATTATAACTTGAATGGTTACGTTTTAGCAGTATCATAACTGGATGGTTTTACTGGTGCAGTGAGAGTGTTATATGAACTTAGATATTCAATATTCATTAAATAATGCACATTTAGGTGCACGGTTCACAAGAGAGTAGTATGCAATTTTAAGTAGGATTCAGTACACTTCTCTGTCTGTCTGTCTATCTCTATTATATGGACAAAAGTATTGGGACATACCTCTTAATTACTGAATTCAGGTTTATTACAATTGTAAACTTAAGTCCTTAAACTTAAGTTAACTCAAGTCCCTGTTGGTATAATGGTCCAGTGTCCCAATACTTTTGCCCATCCATCCATTTAGTATACCATTTAAAAGTTTGGGGTCAGTAAGATTAAAAAAAAAAAAAAAAATTAATACTTTTAGTTTTACTATTCAGCAAGTATGCATTAAATTATTAAAATCCCTTTATTAAATTAAATTAAATATAATTAAAATAATAAATTAATAAAAATATAATTAATAAAAACTCAAAGGTCTTCACAGCAACCATAAAAAAAACCATTCAGTTTAACTTGAAGAAACTGTGACAGAAATATATTACTGAATGTAATGATAGCACTACTACTACTAATACAATTATTATTAAAACATTATTTTCAAGGAATATTTACCAGGAAAAAATATTTACCAGAATTTATTTACCAGAAAAATGTAAACATTTCACGCTCTGAAAAAATAAAAAAAATAAATAAAATAATAATATTTTTTTTAATAAAATAAATTATTTAGAGATGCTTTTGATTATTAAAATGTAAATGAAACCATTAAAATGGAATCCAGAAAATTAATGGGGGAAAAAAATGGTAAAAGTAAAACTGAATTTGAGAAAAAACATATTTCATAGAGTCTTAACAATGAAATTTTTGTTAAACTTTTAATAAATCGCTGTTAAATTGTGTAATTGTTTCATGATTTCAATTAATTAGACATGCTTTTTGATTAATACAATTTTACTTTGCCATTAAAACAAAGTCTAAAAAAAACAACAACAAAAAAAACTTAAAAGAAATATATTTTTTTTAATTTGGGAAAAAATAAAACAGATTTTATAGGGCCATAATAATGTTACAAAATATTTCTATTTCATATAAATCATGTTCATTTGGACTTTCTATTCATTAAAGAATCCAGAAAAAAATAGATTTCCACAAAAAAGCAGTTTTCAACATTGATAATAATCAATTCAACATTTCAAGCACAACTCTTTTCATCATTGATAATAATGAGAAATGCTTCTTGAGCACCAAATCAGGATATTAGAATGATTTCTGAAAGTTCAGTTTACACTAAATACTATTTAAAAAAACTTTAAATACTTTAATACTTTAAATTGTTATAATATTCTTGTATTAAAGTATTACAGTATAATAGCATTGTTGTTTACTGTATTCTTAATTGTATTTTTTGAAGGAATGTCTGGTGCTATACTAAAAATGCCCTTGTAAAATGAGCTGTGAAATCTTTTAATAAGGTGACAGGAGTCTCATCTGGAAACAGCACCAATGTTTGCAATTGGGTGAAAATCAGCACCTGGGGAATCTAAATGTCTTTGATTGAAGCGTGTCTGATTTACAAAACTGTGACTGCAGGCTATTTGACCTCAGATATTTGGAGTTTGAATTCAATGATTTCACCTCTTAAGTGAAGTGAAGTGACATGTGACCCATACTAGGAATTAGTGCTCTGCATTTATCCCATCCAAAGTGCACACACACATAGCAGTGAACACACACACACACCGTGAACACACACCCGGAGCAGTGGGCAGCCATTTTTTGCTGCGGCACCCGGGGAGCAGTTGAGGGTTCGGTGCCTTGCTCAAGGGCACCTCAGTCGTGGTATTGAAGGTGGGAGAGAGCGCTGTACATTCACTCCCCCCACCTACAATCCCTGCCTGTACGAGACTCGAACCCGCAACCTTTGGGTTACGAGTCCGACTCTCTAACCATTAGGCCACGACTTCCCCATAATGCTTTTTGTTTATACTAAATGCTCCAAGAGATGTGACGTTGATCTTACAAACATCTCTTACCTGAGTAATTCAGCATTTGATCAGCAAAGATGAAGAAAAACGAGCACAGACCCCAGGGAATCGGATCATTATGAGTTCCAGTCTGAAAATGTCACAGTGACTAAAGATCGATTGCATTAAAGATCTGCTCTGTGTGTGTGTGTGCGTTGAGCTAAAGAGGCTCAGCACATTGCCATTAAATAGTCATTATAATGTGTCATAAAAGCAAGAATTTATGTAAGACAAACATAATATTAAACTGGCCATCATTGTTCATTTGAACGGCCATATTATAAATCAAGCCAAGCATGTATCTTTTGATGACACTCATAAATTACATTTCGTCAGTTCCTCCATTCAGAAACAAGTCCCAGAAATGCCTTGGAGGGCCATGCTGGCTGACTGGGTTTTTTCTTCAAAGATATTTGAAAGACAATTCAGAGTTCAGGATGTGTGCCACTGCGTTTGAAGTCTCTACTGTAAATGTGCCTGAAATATCTGATGCGTTCAGAATGAAACCAAAACACCAGTTTGACATTCACTGCTACAATGTTCTGCGTATGCCATTTTAATTATTTAAAATACACTGCAGAGGGCTAAAGAAATACTGTGTTTGTTCTAACATGTTTGTAAATGACTTATAAATGAAACTTTTTTTTATTGACATCAAACAGCATTTGTAGCCCATTTTAGTACCATAATGTAATGCAATTTAAACAAGATATTCAACAAGAAAAAGCATGTAGGGCAGTTAATTAAAAATGAGACCAGCGGCCAGGAACGTGTAAGGAAATGAGCTGGGAATTTAGCTGTCATTTTAGCTATTAAGATTAGATGATTCTTATTAGATGTATTAGAAAATGAAATTAAACATGCAACATACGATTTAAGCATCAATAAATTTACTAATAAAAGTGAAATTCGGCACAAAGCCAATCAGAGTTTAATAAAAACTAAATTCAATAATTTAAAGTTAAGTTAAGTTATGTAATGAAATTACTCATTTGTAAGGGAATTAATTATTATTAACTCATTCAGGTTTTAAAAGGACTCGAATCTGAAAATTCTGAGTCAACCTGATTAAAGCTGAATTCAAATCTGATAGTTTACACTTTAAATCAAGGGTCGTCCAGCGAGCCGGTGATTCTTAGTATATTCTAACAATTTGAATATCTGTATTCTCCCTGGCCACGGGATAATACAATTATGATAATTTGTAAGCTCTTAGCGAGGTAACGTAATCTTGGCAAAGGTTTTAACCTTGAAATTATATGACACCAAACAATGATTCGTTATAAATGAAACATGAATTTTATTGGCTATCCTAGATTACATCAAAACTAAGCTAAAACACACATACACACAAACATACAGTTTCTTTAGAATGAGAGTTGACGGAGTTGCATGAAGTTTCAAAGCTTCTAACTCGTTTTCACGAGTGATTTAAATTCACCCGAGAGAATTCACCAAGCAGAGAATTTTAGCTTATGTTTACTGCTTAAAGTAGCTCTACACCAGTTCAGCAGAGATAAGATTTTGTTCGTTTACTTGCGTTCTGCTTGGTTGACAGCTGAAAAGCTGAGGTGATTTCCCGTTACTGACGAAGGCTTCCTGGATGGCTGCTGAGGGAACCCCGGAGCTTTCGGATTGGTCGCTGAGGTGACGTTTGGATGACGTCCTTTTGGGGAGACCCCTCGTTGGATTGGTTGGTCTCTTGATGACGCCAGAAGCTTGAGCAGTTTTGCTACAGTCTGAGTTTGCAAGACTCAGAGTTCTTTGAAGATCGCGAAGTTTCACTGAAGTGTTTGAGTTTTAGATGACCGATCGCTTTGATGGTAAGCGTGTGAGCACAAGTTGGAGTGCTCTTAACACGGCGACAGGCAAAAGCAAGCAAGCAAATCTGTTCTGCATTGGGTTTTTGACCCGCTGCATAAGTCCATCCCACGACGCGATCTTCCAATCGGCTTCTTGCAAGGCGGAGCGTGCATACATTAACAAGAGGCTCCAATTTATTATGTGGAGAAATGAAGATTTGCAGGTTTTGTTAATAACTTCTATATAGTGTCGTACAACACATACTGTTTGAAATAACAGCTTTTCACTTATTTCAATATTCTGCAATTATCACAAGTTTACGTTCAATACTAAACTTCACATATCTTACACACATATTAATAACCTCATTTCCTAAAAAGGGTAATAAACACTGATTAAAGTTGCACCGATTACATGAACACATCAAGCATATATATATAAGACATACACCATATTATTTGTGAATCTATTGCTCCGATACTTTCAAATGATTGTTCTTATGAATTGTCTGTGTAAGCTCGTGTCCCTTTTTTTGGAATGCAGGGGGGAAAGAGGAGGTGTCCTGAGGTCATGCCCATGTCAAGCGAGTGTGGATCTGCCATCCTTCTGCTGGACAGGGAGCTCTAAAATTGTCTCTTTTGTTGACGGGATTATCAATTTATGTGTTAAACGGTCATGAGGTCCAGGAGTGTCTGTCACTGAACTCTTTCCAGATACCAGGTTCTTTGTTCCGTGGTCCATTAGATGGTTTATTTATGCTGAAGCCAGTCACGAAACCTACTGACGTTCTGTTGCTTAAATGAATCCAGATGGGGGGGGCCAGTTCTTGCTGTCCTAGTGCTTGTCGACACCGGAGGTGGTTTGGTAAATCACTCTCTCTCCTGGTGTTTCTTGTACAGATAAGCAGAGCTGGACAGGAACTCATTTGAGACAATTGGCGCCTGGCTGACCGTGATTCAGCTTTACGGCTCTCAGATGGTTGAGAAGAGATGTTAGTTTCCAGGTGGAATGCGGAGATTCCCTCGTTCATTTGTGTGATGTTCGCAAATGCCTTACATATCCCCCTTTAGCTCGGTGACGTTCCCGGTGCGAACATCGGCGGGCACTGGAACAAGAGGCATAGAGAGAGAGGACAGGCACACACAAGATACAAAAAATCTCCATCTCTAACTGAATCCTGGTGCAAGGCTTAGGTAATTTGGGGAA